CAAGCAGCGGCGGACTGTTCTGTCCTTCCGTCAGAGTGCGCTCTCAAGATGGTAAAGAACTGATCGTTCTGTTGGAAAATCCCGTCGGTAGTCGGTTGCTGAGATTCGATCAACTAGTTTCAGAGGTAAATCGAGGTAGCATGTTGACTACCTTCCATATAAATTAATGCTAATGTTATGAAAATTGATAGAGCTGACTGCCTTACTTTAAATGAATTGAGATTTTTAATTAATGCTTATTCTACGTTGTATAATTAGTTGTACTGCTTTATTCGTTCACTTTGCTCTGATTTTCATCGGCACTTGCCATTTAAGGTTCAGTCAGCGTTTGGTTTGTGGAGTCATGCTAGATTACACTTATATCAAGATTCATCATGCACCCAGCCAGTGAAGAAGGACGACGTCAAGTCTTTGTCAGGCGCTACAATTTACATTGATGCCGAAGTGTCTCAGAAAGCACCGGCTTTGGAACAGTTCGACTGGCTGAATGTTGTAGTTGAATATCCTGACTCAGTGTCAGTTCATGCAAACGTTGTCCTGCTGCAAAAGCGTGTTGGTTCATGGTTAGAAGACATTATTTTTCAGGTAGGCATGTTTTGCAAAATTATTTAATTTCAGATAGGCCTTGTGTATTTTGTACATTATGTCGCTGTAAATAATTTTGTTGAAGATTATGCATAGATAAAAGTCAAAGATTGCATATCAGATTTAAATGCAGTAAAACGAACCTTTCATTTGCGGTGTATATGATAACTGGACAGGCTTCTTGATGACCACTGATGCAGTCAATTGAAGATGCAGTGGAGGTCAAACCATGATGAATCCATTAGGATATGCTGCGTCATTATTCCTTATTGAGCGTTGAATTCTTTTCATTTTGATTTTTTTACATATAAATTCGAAATAAACTTCCATTGTGAGATACCTCTTGATAAAAAACGTGAACGTGTCACGATGTCATAATAGGGAATCATGTTCAGCTTCGCCTGCCAGTCCTCTTAAAGGAAATCATCAACAACTGAGCTGCATGCAGCAGCGTTAATTCATCTTCATCTTTAACTTCCATCGCCGCTTCTCTTTTCGGGTCTCGGATCGCGGAGGCAGACGCGTCAGACGGTGCTTCCAATGCTCCCGATCCTGTGCCAGAGTCTCAGCTTCGGCAAAAGACAAATGCAGTCTGCAACAGATTTCTTCCATATGTTTGCACCAGGTTAATCTTGGACGTCCACTGAGCCTTTTGCCGGTCAGATTTGTAAGGAACAGTTGCTTAGCCTTCCTTTCTGGAGGCATTCGCAACACATG